CTCCCTCTCAAAGGACGATAATTATGAATTGAATTTGTTTCTGGAAAATAATCAATGCGTGGTTTTATTTTGGCACTGCTTTTTTTGTGTCTCTGGCGTTCTACCCAAACAATTAATGCCACAACCTCTTCTGTTTCTTTCCTCTACTCAATCCCAGACCTGCATAATACGTCTCTTATTCCGACCAGTTGGTTCCAAAAACCCAAATGGTGGCCTTTGCCCCAGTTCTTTCCAGTGCCAGAAGCCAAATCCACACCCTGTTTCTGGCTGGCATCGCAATGACGGCACGCTCCCATTGAAGAAGGGGCCTTCTTTCCTGCAAATAGCTGCACAAAGACAAGGCAAGCCAGCAATGCAAAAAAGGGCAACGTGTTTTCGTCTGCAGGAGCCCTTTGGGGCCACAACGTGAGGCTACGCTGCGGCACAGTGCCAGTCCAGCCCCCGCACATTGGCTTTGCCCATTCAAGCCAACACACACGGAGACACACATAGACACAGTGCAATACGACAGACTCAAGGAGGAGGGCGGGCAAAGTCCTGAGAGACACGGGAGACCTCTACAAAAAGACACCACGCATCTCTTGCAAAGCAGAGAGAGAGAAAGAGAGCAAACAATGGCTTCGACAACTTCTTCTTCCCCTCTTGAGTTGTCCAGGCTCTACAAATATTTGACCTGCTTCAACAAGGTGGGATTTTAATTGAGGCTTCCATGCAAAGAGCACTGGAAAGACCCCATTGGCTCTGCACAAATCAAAGGCAGTTGCCCCTTCTTTTTGCATTGTTCCCAGAGGTCTTGGAGGTCACCATGTGCCACAAGGCTGAAAAGCAAGCAAAGCGGGGAACCAAGGGCTGCATTTTCAGGAAAGCTACTCAAATGGAGAAGAATGAGAAACAAGTGCTTAAGGATAAAGGTGGAAGGAGCTCATGTGCCAATGGAGGGTCAACCCAAAGAGCCACACTTTGCTCAGTGACACCCAAAAGCACACTCCATGATGCGCTCCACTCCAGACTCGCCCCGGCACTGCTTTGCCACTGCTGTGACTGCTATGACATTTACGCTCGGCATAATGAATTGCACTCAAGAAGACAGAGGGGAAAAAATTACATGACAACTGCACCGGGAAACTTGAAGATGTTCCAGCGAAGATCATCAGCCTCGTACTTCGTTTGCATGAAATACAGATTAAAGCAGATTGCTTTCAACTCGGAAGGGCTTCAGGAAAAGAACGGGGATATTTGTCTCTTTGGAGAGGAAAACCATGCTTTCAGCAAAAGGGAAAAAGAAGGATCACCAGTACTTCACAGAACAACAAATCCCTCTTATTCCTTCAGTCTGTTAATAAGGACGAAAACCTTGCATCCATCTATGAGGCAAAACCCAAGAAGCTCCTCTGAGTTATATATTTTAGAGAACACTTCCCAGTTTATTGCAAAACCTGACATGCATAAGTCAACTGTTTCCAGAGGAATTAAATGAAAGGAAGCCGGGGGAAGAAAAGTGTTGCCTTCCCTTGGAAAGGAAAGGTGACAGACTCACGGCCCGGAAAAGCTCTGTTGACTTTCATCTGAACCAGAAATTGCTGTGGCTGCTACAAATTCTCCTGTCGCCGCCTCACCTTCCTTTAACTCCCTTCGCTCATTTGGCATTTTCCGAAGGCAAGGTTTACACAGATCTGAGTACATACACTTTTCCAACTGAGGGATATATATATATATATAGGCACAGCTCATAGGCTCCATAGAAACATTTTCTTAAAAGAAAAAGAAGCAACCATTGAAAACCATCCAGCAAAATTGAGAAAGACAAATTATTCTTTGTCTCGTGCACAAACACAGATATATATACACACACACATATATATAGGAATGGTTATATATCACAGTCTTGCAATTTAGCTTAGACATAGGAGAGCTTGAACATTCTTGCGGAAATAATCCATCTGAAATAGAATGTAAAGACCAGGATGCTTGCAAGCAGTGAGTTCTTCTGCCTGCAAGAGTTTATTTTAGATGCCTTTTTGCACCCAGGAAATGTCACTTTGCAAGGAAGGAGAGGCAGCTAAGCCAGGGCTTGTTTCCAAAAGCCAAACAGCAAAAGAAGGAGTGGAGGGTCTATGATGCCACGATTCTGCCCCTGAAAAGCAGCCTCCAAACAGCCATTGAGCTTGAAATGTGCTGCCAGGCAAAGAGGCCTCTGCAAATGGCCAACCCCACCCCAAGGAATGAAATAAAAATGCAACAAATGCACGCAAGTGGCACGGATCCTTTGGGCCCAGGCCAGCTGGACCGCTTCCAGATTCACATTCATCCCCACATTGCTTTTCTTCCCTTGCAATTTGGCAGACGTTTCACCGAAAACACACAAGTTGTGCCCGTTTGCCTGAAACATAACAAGGGACAGCCTCCAAAGGACCCACTTTTGCAGGTTGTGGGTGCCTACTGCCTGGCTTTCCATAGCTATCACCACCCTGCCTTTGGGGAGGAGAGGATGCAAAACCAAGCCCTCCCCGGAGAGAAGACCCCGCACATCTGCTGCTGATGTGGAGCGCTGCCAAGACCAGGCTCCTTCTCTGTGCCAAGTCCCGCGTGGCATGGCTGGGCCAGCGTAGGAGAGCAATAGTGGGCTGGGGACGGCTTGACAGAGGATGCAGGGAAGAAGGGAAGCAACCTAACCTGGCCCATGGACTGCTCCCATCTGCCTCTGGACTGCAAAAGGGCAGAGGAGGCCAGAACCCGGCAGGGCTCCCTTTCTACTCATAGCTTCCTCCCCCTCCAATCTGTGTTCAGTTTGGAGAGACTTGGGGGGGGGGGCATTCTGGGGATGTTGGGGGCGACCCCTCCCCTTCCTCTCCCCTCCCAAAACAAGAGGAAAACCAGAACCAAGGGTCTCTGGAGGTTCTTCTTACACAGGAGAACCTCCCTCCTGAGTTTGAAGAATTGAATATACTCCTCACAAACCACATCCATAGGGACTAAGAGAGGTCCCAGCAGTTCAGACAAAACATCCCATTTCTATCTCAAAGCATTTGGGTACTAAAGAGGGGTGCAAAAGGGACCGGAAGATGGGGGAAGGATACTGTTTTGGCGTGGGAAAGCCATCAAAGTCACTGTATTGTCGAAGGCTTTCATGGCCAGAATCACTGGGTTGTTGTGAGTTTTCTGGGCTGTACTGCTGTGTTCCAGAAGCATTCTCTCCTGACGTTTCGCCTGCATCTATGACAGCATTTTCAAAGGTTACACAAGGGGGAGGATACTATTTTGGGACAGGGAAGCCATCAAAGTGACTGTATTGTCAAAAACTTTCATGGCCAGAATCACTGGGTTGTTGTGAGTTTTCCAGGCTGTATTGCCGTGTTCCAGAAGCATTCTCTCCTGACGTTTTGTCTGCATCTATGACAAGGATACTGTTTTGGGGAGGATACTGTTTTGGGGTGGGGAAGCCATCAAAGTGACTGTATTGTCGAAGGCTTTCATGGCCAGAAGCCATGGGGAAGCACTGGGTTGTTATGAGTTTTCCATCTTCCAGAAGCATTCTCTCCTGATGTTTCACCTGCATCTATGAAAGGCATCCTCAGAGGTTGCACAAGGGGGAGGATACAGTTTTGGGGCGGGAAAGCCATCAAAGTGACTGTGTTGTCAAAGGCTTTCATGGCCAGAATCACTAGGTTGTTGTGAGTTTCCCAGGCTGTATGGCTGTGTTCCAGAAGCATTCTCTCCTGACATTTTGCCTGCATCTATGACAAGCATCCACAGAGGCTGTGCAACCTCTAACTATACTGTGGAAGGCTTTCATGGCTGGAATCACTGGGTTGTCGCACAGCCTCTGAGGATATGCAACCTCTGAGGATGCCTGCCATAGATGTAGGCGAAACGTCAGGAGAGAATGCATCTTGAACATGGTCATACAGCCTGGAAAACTCACAACAATCCATCAAAGTGACTCTCCTTCTCCGTCCTGTCCCTGGCCTTCCAAGTGGAAGATGGAAAAGGGCTCTGTGCCTTTGGGAGATTGAGGGGAAAGGGAGCGGGATTTCCAATGGAGAGTCCTCTGGGACAGGACAGCAGCCACTCTGGGATGCAACCTCTGACTTTTAAGAGGTGCCTCGGAATATTCCCAGAGAGAAGCATTCTCTCCTGACGTTTTGCCTGCATCCATGGCAGGCATCCTCACAGGTTGTGAGGTCCGCAGCAGGAGAGCCAAGTTTGAGTCCAAAAGAGTGAGCCTTCGGAAAAGTGGGAGAATAAAGCCAGAAAGTAGGGATGGAAGATGGGAGAGAGAGTAGTCTTCGAATATCCCCTTAAGGGGAGTAGGGGGCGAGTGGCGACCCTCTGGCAGTCCCTTTAAAGCTCAAAGGCAGAGGCATTGTTGTGGGGTACAATGAAACGGAAAGGAGGTGGGATACACTCCCCCCCCCTCAAAAAAGCCTTGGTTTGCTGCTTTCGGAAGGCGCTTCTCTCCCCGCTTTCTGCCCTAGTGCCCCCCAAAAGAACACACACCAGATTGAGGAGGGGGGACTCCTTTGAACTTCCTCCCCCCCCCCCAAATATCCCAAACCACCCTCATCCAGGGCGCACCAGGAGCCCCAGTGGCACCATGGGTTAAACCCTTGTGCAGGCACGACGGAAGACAGACAGGTCGGAGGTTCGAATTTGGGGAGAGCGCGGGTGAGCTCCCTCTGTCAGCTCCAGCTCCCCATGCGGGAAATGAGAGAAATGAGTAAAACATCAAAACATCCGGGCAATGTCCCCTGGGCAACGTCCTTGCAGACGGCCAATTCTCTCACACCAGAAGCGACTTGCAGTTTCTCAAGTCGCTCCTGACACCACAAAAAAATCCAAGGCGCAAAGAACCAAAAAGTCCAAGCACTGGGGACCCTTCCCCTCAATAATATACACACATTCCTTTATATTGGGACCCTCTGAAGACCCTCCCTCCCCTTTTCTTCCTTCCCCCCTCCCCTCCCCTCCCCCCTAGGCCCCATCCGGAGTCTCTCTCTCACCGATGCGGATGACATGGGGCATGGCGAGGCAGGGGGCCGCCTGGAGCCAGAGCAGAGCCACGAAGAGCCCCGAGGAAGAGGAGGAGAAGCCCGAAGACGAGGAAGAAGAAGAAGAGGAGGAGGAGGAGGAAGAGGACCCGCTTCGGTCCAGGAGCCTCGGTCGCGGGACCCGGCAGGTCCGCCGCATCCTGAGCAGGCGAGGCGCGGCTCTACACCTCCGGCTCCCGGGAAGAGGAGGAGGAGGAGGAAGAGAAGGAGGAGGAGGAGGAGGAGCGGAGGAGGAGGAAGGCGAAGGGGAGGGGGGCAGGGGCACGGGGAGGGGGAGGAGGGGGGTCCGGGAGGCTCATGCTGGCAGCCGGGAGGAAGAGAGAGGAAGGGCGGACGGAGCACCGACAGGGAAGGGATGGGAAGGGAAAAGGAGACGTTCCCTCTGCCGCCAGCGCTCTCTTCCCTCTCTCTCTCTCTCTCCTCTCTTTCTTCTCTCTCTTTCGCCGCGACCGGAGAGGCGGCAGCGCTCCCTCCCGGCGCCGGACCGCCTGGCAGGGAGCGAGCGAGCGAGCGAGCGGGGGATCGAAGCCCCGAAGAGAAGGAGCCCAACGACGGCGCTCCGGAGGGTCCTCGCCCACCTTCCCTCCTTTCTCTCTCTTTCCTTCCCTCCTTCTCCCTCTCTTTCTCTCCTCCTCTCCCTCCTCCTCTATCTTCTGTCTTTCTCTGGCTCTCCTTTCCTCCTTCTTTCCTTCTCTCTCTCCCGATCACTCCTTTCTTTTTCCTTCACTGTCTTTCGCTGTCCTTCCCTCCTATCTCTCTCTTTCTTTCCCTCCTTCCTCTCCTATATCCCTCTTTCTCTCTGTGTCCTTCCCTCCTCTCTCTTTCTTTCCCTCCTCCCTCTCCTACTCTATCCCTCTTTCTCTCTCTGTCCTTCCCTCCTCTCTCTCTCTCTCTTTCCCTCCTTATTTCCTACTCTATCCCTCTTTTTCTCTCTGTCCTTCCCTGCTTCTCCCCCTCTATCTCTCCTTCTCCCCTCCTCCTCTATCTTCTGTCTTTCTCTGGCTCTCCTTCCCTCCCTCTTTCCTTCTCTCTCTCCCGATCACTCCTTTCTTTTTCTTTCACTGTCTTTCGCTGTCCTTCCCTCTTATCTCTCTCTTTCTTTCCCTCCTTCCTCTCCTACACTATCCCTCTATCTCTCTGTGTCCTTCCCTCCTTTCACATTCTTTCTTTCCCTCCTTCTCCCTCTCCTTCTCTCCTTCTCTCCCTCCTCCTCTATCTTCTGTCTTTCTCTGGCTCTCCTTTCCTCCTTCTTTCCTTCTCTCTCTCTCCCGATCACTCCTTTCTTTTTCCTTCACTGTCTTTCGCTGTCCTTCCCTCCTATCTCTCTCTTTCTTTCCCTCCTTCCTCTCCTATATCCCTCTTTCTCTCTGTGTCCTTCCCTCCTTTCTCTTTCTTTCCCTCCTTCTCCCTCTCTCTCCTTCTCTCACTCCTCCTCTATCTTCTGTCTTTCTCTGGCTCTCCTTTCCTCCTTCTTTCCTTCTCTCTCTCCCGATCACTCCTTTCTTTTTCCTTCACTGTCTTTCGCTGTCCTTCCCTCCTATCTCTCTCTTTCTTTCCCTCCTTCCTCTCCTATATCCCTCTTTCTCTCTGTGTCCTTCCCTCCTTTCTCTTTCTTTCCCTCCTTCTCCCTCTCTCTCCTTCTCTCACTCCTCCTCTATCTTCTGTCTTTCCTTCCTCCTTTCTTTCCCTCCTTCTCTCCTTCCTTCCCTCCTCTCTATTTCTTCTTTCTCTCTTCTTCCCTCCTTTCTTCTCTCCTTCTCTCTCTCTCTCTCTCTCTCACTCCTTCTTTCCTTCTTTTTGCTTCACTGTCTTTTTCTGTCCTTCCCTCCTTTCTCTCTGTTTCTTTCCCTCCTTCCTCTCCTACTCTATCCCTCTTTCTCTCTCTGTCCTCCCCTCCTCCTCCCCTATCTCTCCTTCTCCCCCTCCTCCTCTATCTTCTGTCGTTCTCTGGCTCTCCTTCCCTCCTTTCTCTCTCCTTTCCTTTTTTCTCTCTCCGTATCACTCTTTATTTTCCTTCTATTTCTCTACTTTCCTTCTTTCTCCTTCACTCTCTCTCTCTGTCCTTCTCTTTCCCCCTTCCCTCCTTCTTCTCTTTCTTCTCTCTCTCCCTATCACTTCTTCTTTTTCCTTCACTGTCTTTCTCTGTCCTTCCCTCCTTTCTCTCTGTTTCTTTCCCTCCTTCCTTTCCTACTCTATACCTCTTTCTCTCTGTGAACTTCCCTCCTTCTCCCGCTCCTCCTCTATCTTCTGCCGTTCTCTGGCTCTCTTCCCTCCTTTCTCTCTCCTTCTTTCCTTCTCTCTTTTTTCTTCTTTCTCCTTCACTCTCTCTCTCTCTCTTTCTGCCCTCTCACTCTCCTTCCCTCCTTTCTCTCTCCTTTTCTTCTCTCTTCTTCATTCTTCTCTTTCTCCTTCTTCTTCTTTCTTCTTTCGCCTTCACTCTCTCTTTCTTTCCTTCTCTCTCTCCCTACTCTATCCTTTCTTCCTCCTCTCTCTCCTTCCCTCTTTCCTATATCTCCTCTCTTTCTCTGCTTCTCCTTCCCTCCTTTCTCTCTCCTTCTTTCCTTCTTTCCTATTCTATTCCTCTTTCTTCCCCACCCTCCTTCTCCCTCTCTTTCGCTCTTCCCTCCTTCTTTATCTTCTTTTTCTTTCTCTCCTTCTTTCCTTTCTCTCTCCTTTCCTTCTCTCTCTTTCTCTCACTGTCTTTCCCTCCTCTCTCCTTCTTTCCTTCTCTTTCTTTCCCCACTTCTCCTCCTTTCTTTCTGTTTCTCTCCACTTCCCTCCTCTATTCCTCTCTTCTTTTCCTCTCTATCCGAGACGGAAGCAGGGGGTGGGATGCCTGTCCGGCAGAAACTCGCTCTTCCTCCGCTTCCTCTTTCCGGGGTCCCTGCCTCCTTAAGGGCGGGCGCGGCGGGGCGGCACTCTGTTCATGCTCAGGAGCCGCGCGAGTGGAGAGTCCCGGCGGGAGCGGAGGCGGAGAGGGATTTCCAGGGGCCGTGGACGGGACGTGACGCCGGGAAGAAGGAGGGAGGGGGTCCAGGGAAGCCCTTGCCCTCTGGCCACGTGCAGAGCGCCCGCCCGGGTTTCCCAGGGAGGGGGGGGGAGAGGGAGAGAGACCCCTCCCCGGGCAGACACTAACTAGAGGGAGGAGGAGGAGGAGGAGAAAGAGAAGAGTCCCTCCAGGTGCCCCTCTTCCTCCTTTGGGCCAGTGGAGAAGGGTCCCAGTCTGGCACGCCAAACCTTTGCATGGGTCCACTTTGCAATCAAATAACAGTAACAATAGTAATGTGTTGTCCAAGGCTTTCATGGCCGGAATCTGTTGGATTATGTTATACAATCAAGCATGCATTTAGGGATACCCCTTTTCTCTGGTCACCATTCTCTTGCTGAAAGCTAACACTCGCAACATTTTATTGCCCATCATAAAGGTTGCATGCTGGGATCCCAGCTGGGATGCTGGGAAAAGGTCTGGAGAACAAGCCCTATGAGGAGCGGCTTAAGGAGCTGGGCATGTTTAGCCTGAAGAAGAGAAGGCTGAGAGGGGATATGATAGCCATGTATAAATATGTGAGAGGAAGCCACAGGGAGGAGGGAGCAAGCTTGTTTTCTGCTTCCCTGGAGACTAGGACGGGGAACAATGGCTTCAAACTACAAGAAAGGAGATTCCATCTGAACATGAGGAAGAACTTCCTGACTGTGAGAGCCGTTCAGCAGTGGAACTCTCTGCCCCAGAGTGTGGTGGAGGCTCCTTCTTTGGAAGCTTTTAAACAGAGGCTAGATGGCCATCTGTCAGGGGCATTGGGATATTGTGCATCCCTGCACATTAACCATTCATTGTGGGGATGTGCAGTGTGCATTGAGCATCAGTGGGCATTTGATTGTGCAATGTCACAATTCTGTGGCCAGGCATAACTCCATGAGAGTAAAGCATTGCTGTGTCTCTTTGACGCAGGGTCACATCTCCTTTCCTTACGCAAAGGAATGCATCTCAGAGTTTGCAAGGGGGCAACAACAAAGCTAATTTGGAATAAAGATATGAACTATGAGGAGTGGCTTAAAGAGCTGGGCTAGTTTAGCCTGAAGAAGAGAAGACTGAGAGGAGACATGATAGCCATGTATAAATATCTGAGGGGAAGTCATAGGGAGGAGAGAGCAAGCTTGTTTTCTGCTGCCCTGGAGACTAGTGTGTGGAGCACTAGCTTCAAACTACAGGAAAGGAGATTCCACCTGAACATTAGGAATAACTTCCTAACTGTGAGAGCTATTGATAAGTTGCCAAGCCAAATTCAAGATGCAGGTAATGACCTATAAAGCTCTAAATGGTTCGGGCCCCACCTATCTTCGCGATCGCATTTCCAACTATGAACCGGCACAAACTTTAAGATTCTCCGAGGAGGCCCTCCTCTCGCTCCCACCTCCATCACAAGCACGATTGGTGGGAACAAGAGGGCCTTCTCAGTCACAGGTCTGGAGAACAAGCCCTATGAGGAGTGGCTTAAGGAGCTGGGCATGTTTAGCCTGAAGAAGAGAAGGCTGAGAGGAGATATGATAGCCATGTATAAAATATGTAAGAGGAAGTCACAGTGAGGAGGGAGCAAGCTTGTTTTCTGCTTCCCTGGAGACTAGGACGCGGAACAATGGCTTCAAACTACAGGAAAGGAGATTCCATCTGAACATGAGGAAGAACTTCCTGACTGTGAGAGCCGTTCAGCAGTGGAACTCTCTGCCCCGGAGTGTGGTGGAGGCTCCTTCTTTGGAAGCTTTTAAACAGAGGCTGGATGGCCATCTGTCAGGGGTGATTTGAATGCAATATTCCTGCTTCTTGGCAGGGGGTTGGACTGGATGGCCCATGGGGTCTCTTCCAACTCTTTGATTCTATGATTCTATATCAGAATGGACATTGCCTACCTGCAAATGCTCAAGTAGATTCCCTCTTTGAAGTGAGAAAGTTATAAAAGGGACCCCCTAGTCCTTTGTCTTCCCAGAACGTGTTCTCAGTTAAGAGTTAGCAGTAGTTATCTTTGTGATGTAACCGTACTCTGCATGCCGATAGCAGCCTACCTGTACCACAGGCCCTAATGTAGTTCCTAGCTATATTTTGGATTACATGAAACCCAAGATTTTTACCTGTATGATGATCTTCATACATGAGTTGTGAGTAAACTGTTTTATTATATTATTCTGGTGTTCTCGAGTTGTTATTTGCTTGCATGTGTTCTGGTTTGGGGGAGGCTGCATTGTTTGAATCAGTAGACCAGTGTTTCTCAACCTGGGGGTCGGGACCCCCAGGGGGGTCGCAAGGGGATGTCAGAGGGGTCGCCAAAGACCATCAGAAAACAGTATTTTCTGTTGGTCATGGGAGTTCTGTGTGAGAAGTTTGGATTAATTCTATTGTTGATGGGGTCCAGAATGCACTTTGATTGTAGGTGAACTATAAATCCCAACAACTACAACTCCCAAATGTCAAGGTCTATTTTCCCCAAACTCCACTAGTGTTTACATTTGGGCATATTGAATATTCATGCCAAGTTAGATCCAGATCCATCATTGTTTGAGTTCACAGTGCTCTCTGGATGCAAGTGAACTACAACTCCAAAACTCAAGGTCAATGCCCACCAAATCCTTCCAGTATTTTCCATTGGTCATGGGAGTTCTGTGTGCCAAGTTTGGTTCAATTTCATCATTGGCGGAGTTCAGAATGCTATTTGATTGTAGGTTAACTATAAATCCCTGCAACTACAACTCCCAAATGACAAAATCGACCCCTCCAACCCCGCCAGTAGTCAAATTTGGGCGTATTGGGTATTTGTGCCAAGTTTAGTCCAGTAAATGAAAATACATCCTGCAAATCAGGTGTTTACATTATGATTCATAACAGTAGCAAAATTACAATTATGAAGTAGCAACGAAAATAATTTGATGGTTGGGGGTCACCACAACATGAGGAACTGTAATAAGGGGTCGCAGCATTAGGAAGGTTGAGAACCACTGCAGTAGACTGACCTAAAAGGTTTAAATACCTTCGCCTGAGTTAAACTCCTGCTTCACTCTTTTCTTTTCATACTCTCAGAGAGCCCATCAGCTTTTGCAGCAACTCTGTTTGATGCTTTGTCTTTGCATATTCAGGCATTAGCATTATAAAAAGCCAACAGAATCACTGGGTTGCTGTGAGTTTTCCAGGCTGTATGGCCATGTTCCAGAAGCATTCTCTCCTGACGTTTTGCCCACATCTATGGCAGGCATCCTCAGAGGTTGTGAGTTCTGTTGGAAACTAGGCAAGTCAGGTTTATATATCTGTGGAATACTGTCCAGGGTGGGAGAAAGAACTCTTGTCTGCTGGAGGCAAGTG